ATGCGGCCCCACCTCCCAGTCACTCCCCCGCCCTCACCAGGTTTCCGTCAGGCACCCAGCCGGAAATTCAGAAAATACCTGAATACCGGACAGATGGTGCAAATATCAGACTGTCCAGGGTAAGGTGGGTGTGAACAGGATCTGCTTAATCGGTTAACTGATTAAACCTAAGGTTTTACCAGTTAACTGATTAACTGGGAATGCGGCCCCACCTCCCAGTCACTCCCCCGCCCTCACCAGGTTTCCGTCAGGCACCCAGCCGGAAATTCAGAAAATACCTGAATACCGGACAGATGGTGCAAATATCAGACTGTCCAGGGTAAGGTGGGTGTGAACAGGATCTGCTTAATCGGTTAACTGATTAAACCTAAGGTTTTACCAGTTAACTGATTAACTGGGATTTTACATCCTTAGTCTACAGTGGTTTCAAAATCTTGTCTCTGTCTTGCTTTTCTAGAAGAGGGAGATGTAAATGTATTCTTCATTTTGTTACTAGCATTTAGAAACACCAGCAATTTTGCAAAAATAACTAATATGGACCTAGTGTATTTTATTAATACTTACTATGGTAATAAAGGTTGTCAAACCATTAAATGCATCCAGAATCTGACACAGACACTTTTGTTTATGTATAAGCCGAAATTAAGTACAACAGTATACGTCCCCAGTGCCTTACAACACTCATTTTCACAATGTGCTTATGAGGTAGGTATCTATTTTAACACGTTTGTCCAAATCCAAGAGACACATACATATATATCCAAAACATATATTGAGAATAGATATGTGTGGTGGAATCTCCCATTGTAAATCAGTGGTAGCACTTGCATTAACTGCAGGGGAGCACAATCTGGCCTAAACCCCTGGAATTAGACAAAAGTCCCTCACGGAGGTGGAAGTCTTTTTTCGCCAGAACTGGGTATGTGTTATGATTTTGTTACATAGCAATGTGAACGCTCTCTGGGTGTGGTCACTAAAAGGGTTTTTTGCCAACACAACAAAATGTTACAAAACATTGGACAGTTGCCCCCTCCTCCTTTTTTACAAACTTTCTTCATCTTAACTATCTGCAGTTATCAGTTAAGGAGACAAAGGGTTGAATACTATTTTGAATGCTAAATTGTCGTAATACTCATGGTCAGGCTAATCCATCTTTATTTTATTTTCCCCTTGTTTAATTCAGAGGATGATAGCTGTTAATTACTAGTGATCCTCTAATCAGAGTGTTAAGTAGAGTATTACTACTGATGACAATGGCTTTCAGCAATTCCAATATGCGCTCGATTGTGCCTTTTGATTTAAATTAATTGATGAAAGCCTGTGCTTTTGATTAATTTGTCCATTGCAAATAATATACAGGCAGTCCCCGGGTTACGTACAAGATAGGGACTGTAAGTTTGTTCTTAAGTTGAATCTGTATGTAAGTCGGAACTGATCAGTTTCAACAGCGGCTGAATCTGGACACCAGTTCTGACTTACATAGAGATTCAACTTAAGAACCCCAGGCATCCCCGAGTCAGCTGTTGCTGAAACTGATCAGCAGCTGATTCCAGGAAGCCCGGGGCAGAGCAACTCTGCCTCGGGCTTCCTGTAGTCAGCCGCTGGTCAGTTTCAGCAGCGGCTAACTTGGGGACGCCTGGGGCAGAGCAGCTCGGGTGCTGCTGGGTTGGTCCAGTAGCGCGGCCGCTCCTCGGCGCTACTGGAGAAACCCAGCAGCACCCCAGCTGCTCTACCACAGGCCCTGGGCTTTGCTCCACGTCTCCCTTGTCTGCTGGGGGGGGGGGCACTAGCTGCGTCCCCCCCCCAGCAGACCAGGGAGACGGGGAGCAGATTTTCTCGCCCCGGAGGAGGCGGGCGGTGGGACCAGGCGTCCCGCCGCTCCAGTCCTCCGGGGCGAGAAAATCTGCTCCCCGTCTCCCTGGTCTGCTGGCTCCCCCAGCAGACCAGGGAGACGGGGAGCAGATTTTCTCGCCCCGGAGGAGGCGGGCGGTGGGACCAGGCGTCCCGCCGCTCCAGTCCTCCGGGGCGAGAAAATCTGCTCCCCGTCTCCCTGGTCTGCTGGCTCCCCCAGCAGACCAGGGAGACGGGGAGCAGATTTTCTCGCCCCGGAGGAGGCGGGCGGTGGGACCAGGCGTCCCGCCGCTCCAGTCCTCCGGGGCGAGAAAATCCCCGTTCGTAACTGCGGATCCGACATAAGTCGGATCTGCGTAACTCGGGGACTGCCTGTAATGTAATAAATACTAGTGAGTATTTGCATAGATTCTATTTGCCCAGAACATTCTTTGGAAATAAGTGTCGGGAATAGGGTAGGGGGAGGAGGAGATAGCATGGTAAATATTTTAAGTAAAAATAATATAACCAAAAAAGCCCATATATGCAGTTGATGGTTGTTCTTGACTGATTTCCTGCTACTGGTTGGTACCAACAACAATATGAATGTACATTAGCAGCACAAAATAATAAATTAATGACAATATAAGAGTGCTGTTTTAGTACTCTGAGAGCATTTGCTATAAGACAAAAATTAGAAACAGAATTCAGTTTCATAAAATGACCTTTCAAAAAATAACCTGACTAATTTGCAGTGTCAGTTTTTTTGTGTCATGTTTAAATAATACGATTATTATAAGCACATTTTCATTCTATAAATACTCAAGAGTCTGTGACTGGTCCTGAGAATTCTGTTGTTTATTTTTAGTTAACTCAATATCTTGCAGTCTCTACTCAAGAGAGCAGTACCAAAGGGTTACATGATTTGACCCAAGACTACTAAAATCATTTCTAGAAAATATGCTTGAGTTAGTATTAAGCTGAGATACCAGATTTGTGTTACAGATGCATCTGGCTTTCGACAAATGTGGTTTTGACCATTAAGGACCACTCCTAGGTTTCTGCAAGAATTGTTGCCACACCTCATGCAAACAAGATAGAGACTTTCTTTGAGTTCAGAATCCAGGATTGC